CTAAGTGTGTTTAAATAAAAGAGGTGTAATGATGGTCTTCAAATATTTAAAGACCTCTAATGGGGCAAAAGATATAAAATCCTTCTACTTGGCCTCTGAGAGAGGAATGACAAGTAATGTGTGAAAGGTACTGGGGAATGTATTTCAGTTCACATTAAGGGAAAATTTTCTTCTAATTATGGCCATCCAAAAGTAGAATGCAGTGCCTCAGGAAGCAGAGGCTGTGCCCTCACTGAAAGACCTGATGCAAATCTTCAGTGGCATTTTGCTGGGAATGCTACTGGAAAAGTTCTTCCATAGGAAGCTTGGCCTAATTTGAATGAACAAGCCTTTTGCATGCTTCCTATTGTGCACAAGATTCTTTCCTGCTCTTAGAGATGAGTGGGATAGTCAGTAGGTGGCCTTGCCTTGTGCTCTGTTTCTGCAGGCCAGGACACAGCCAAAATGAACTGAATCAGGGCTCTCCTTGCTCCATCTAAATCCCCACAGCTGCAAGTGCCCTTATTATCTCTAACTTCATGGTAGAACTTCATGGCAGAGAGGAAGGGAGTGCCCACAAGAATGCTTCTCACTTCCCATAAGGATGTCAATAGAACTCAAACTGAGTCCTCTGTTCAGCTCTGGTTCTCATCCTAGTGTCCCTGAAATTTCCTTTTCCTTCTTTTCTGATCTCCTTGCCTTCGTTATGTGTTATTTGGGTTTACAGGTTATAACGAAGACCACAATGCCAATGTTTCTTCAACTTTCGTCAACTCTGGGGTCTTTAGAAAGGAATTCACGGGGCGGAGCCAAGAGTGAAAGCAGTGCATTGCTTGAGCTCTCCCCCAAACCCCTCCAAATACCAGTAAAAAATGGCTCTAAACAAATTCTAAAGCAGCAGAACCCACAAAAGGCCAGAGTGAAACAAATTTCCAGCCCAAGACAACCTGGGTGGTTGATTGGAAAGGTATATCGCGCTGAGCCAGGAGAGGAGCGCAGTTTGGTGTGGGCGAGCAGTGTGGAGCAGGCCTCAGAGGACTGAATCGCGGGCAGCCGTGGCGGTTTCCAGACTTCTCAAGCCACGAACACCAAAGACAACTTGGAAGGTCAGTGAGAAATGTCTGTTTCTGCGGTGAGAGAAGAAGCTAGGTCTCAGCCCCGAGTCCAGAGCATGTGGGCGGTGTAGCGGCTGACTCCTGAGCTTCTGGCCCACATACCGAGGGGGAATTGAGTGGCTGATCAGAGGGGGATTGCAGGGATCTCTTTGCCAGTGATGACGCAGGAATCTCCTGCTTTGCCCATGCTTGGATCTGGGTCACAGTTCTGAGGGGCAGTCCTGGGGCTAGGAGGAGCCCTGGCCTGTGGAGCTTGTTGTGGTGGTGGAGAGGAAACACCTCACTCCTTATACCACCTTGGAAGAACTGAAAATTTACAGGTCCCTAGAAGTAGCTCTGAAAATAGGTGTACAAACCTCCGAAGCTTGGGACAGTACATTCTCCACATTGGAAGCAGACTCTTACCTTAACAAAGAGTTTAAAACTCAAGTAATTGGCTGAGATCATGAGTAAGCAGCGCAAAAAGAATCAGACTATATTGTCTTACTTTGGTGACAAAGAAGATCAAAACATACAACCAGAAGAAGACAAAGCTCCTACATCCAAAGCCTCCAAGAAAAAAAAATGAATCAGTCACAGGCTATGGAAGAGCTCAAAAAGGATTTTGAGAAGCAAGTAAGAGAAGTAGAGGAAAAACTGGGAAGAGAAATGAGAGTGATGCAAGAAAATCATGAAAAACAAGTCAACAGCTTGCTAAAGGAGATCCCAAAAAATACTGAAGAAAATAACACCTTAAAAAATAACCGAATCCAAATGTCAGAAAAGGTCCAAAAAGCCAATGAGGAGAAGAATGCCCTAAAAAGCAAAACTGGTCAAATGGAAAAGGAAGTCCAAAAGCTTACTGAAGAAAATACTTCCTTAAAAATTAGAATAGAGCAATTGGAAGCTAGTGACTTTATGAGAAATCAAGACACTGTAAAACAAATCCAAAAGAATGAAAAATGAGAAAACAATGTGAAATATCTCATTGGAAAAACAACTGACCTGGAAAATAGATCCAGGAGAGAGAATTTAAAAATTATTGGACTATCTGAAAACCATGATCAAAAAAAGAGCCTAGACATCATCTTTCAAGAAATGATCAAGGAAAACTGCCCTGGGCAAAGTAGAAATTGAAAGAATCCATCGATCTCCTCCTTAAAGAGATCCCCAAAGAAAAACTCCTAGGAATATTGTAGCCAAATTCCAGAGTTCCCAGGTCAAGGAGAAAATATTACAAGCAGCCAGAAAGAAACAATTCAAGTACTGTGGAAACACAATCAGTGTAACACAATGTTGAAGGTGGAAGATCAGGGTGAGAGGCAGCACCGGGTGAACGATAATGTGAGGCTTGGGGGAAGGTCAGAGGAAGAGGCTGGTCATGAAAGAGAAAGGTCATAGAAGGTTAAAGTGATGAAGGCCTGGTGGGCGGGTCACAGCAGGAGGGTGGTGGGAAGTTGGTCTGGAGGTCCCAATGGGAGCCTGAGGTGGGGGCCACAGCGAAAAGCAGGTTGAGACAGAAAGCAGTTAGGGAATCTTAATGGAAGGATGAATGGAAGGGGCCAGATGGGAGGTTGCCAAGGAATAAGGGGCTAGGAGTTTGAGCAAGGGTGATGTGAAGCTGGTGGGCAAGGCAGAGCCCTTAGAAGACAGGGATAGGTGGATGCTCATATCCCAGTGGCAGGTCACAGTGGGAAAAAGAGATCAGGGCTGTTGAGGGTTGATATGAAGCCAGGGGTTGGGGGAATCACAGATTGGAAGGGTCTTGGCACCGAGGTATCCAATGTCCTCTGGTTTCCTAAACTCAGGCTATTCCAGTGGTGCATAATTGTTAGCCAATTGGTCTTTTAGGGGTGAAAAAATAGTGCTTATCTGGTCCATTAGCCCTACCCATTGTGTTCAGGACCAGCTGGGCTTTTCCTTCATGCATCCTCCAAGCTTGGCTTCCTCACCTTTGACAGTGGGATGGGACAGATGAGAACCTGGCAGACAGCCAGAGAGGAGTGATGACCCTTGAGGAGGTGTAATGGACCCTAGAGCCTAGGGGAGGGACTTCTCTCGCCTCAATTCCTGTAGACTCACTTGAGGAGTCGCCCACACTAGGGCAAATGGTAAGAAAGAGGCAGAGTTAGTATTCTGGTCAATCCAGAGTGAGCGAGGCACAATGTTTATTCCAGCCCAAGTGCAATGCACTTCAGCCCCTGGGTTCTGCTACATTTTTATCACAGTCCACTGTTAATTAATTTTCCTGGGGTCTAGGTGGGAGAGGTAAGAGCTCATGGTTTGGACTTTGTAATCTCCTTTGTTTTTCCTCAGGCACATGATAACCTGTACAGGATTGAAGGATGGAAGAGAATCATGAGTTATGGGGGCATGACCCTTGCTGAGAGCCTGTTGTGTATAGATGTGGACCCAGCCTTGCTCCCTAGAGAGGGCATGAAGGCAGCCCTGGTGAATCCCAGGAGCATAACCAGGAACCAAGGTTATTAGAAGTGGCCTTCCTTGCTGGCTTTGTACATTTCTGCCCAGCCCCTACCCCAAAACCTAAGGCCAGGCTTAGGGAGAAGGCACCCAGGTAGAGTACTCATGAGCCTTGTTGAGAGAACTCTCCATTGATTGAGAAAGTAACAGGGAGAGTCTGAAGGAAGGCTACCTGGAACATTCTCCTAAGTAAATTTGTTCTTTCTTTCCTTCTGTCTGTCTGTCTGTCTCTGTTTCTGCCTCAGTTTCTGTCTGTCTCTTTTTCTTTGTCCTTTCTTCATCTCTGTCTCTGTTTCAATCTTTGTCTCTTTCTAACTATCTTGGTCTCTGTCTTTCTGTCTATGTCTGCCTCAGATTATCTCTCCAGCTCTGTCCCTCCATTTTCAATTCTATTCCATAAGCATTTGCTAAGCACCTACTGTGTGCCAGGAACTGTGCATTTTCTCACTCTCTTTCTCTGTCTCTCTCTGATACACAGAAATCTCTTCTCTCTCAAATTCTTACTTAGTCACACACCCCCTCCTTTACATATGAACAGAGGCACACACTAGTGTCCTGCACTTCCTAAATTCACACTGTCATTCACATTGACTCATTGATATGCATCCTCTCTCCTAGATGCATATATGCAGCCATAAGCACACCTGCATTCTCACAGACACACACTTACTCATTCTGGGATAAGCCTACTGGATCATGAGATCCCAAAGTTAGAGCTGGGAGGGATATTGGAGGCCTGCTATTCCAATCTCCTCATTCTGTAGAGGAGGAAAGTGAAGCCCATAGATGTGGCTTGATGACAGTCACATGTAGGACAGGATTTGAACCCAGGTCCTCTGGCTCCAAATATAAGGATTATAGTGATCTTTCCACTGTGCCACCAGAAAGACTTCCCCTCATAGGGATGCTCATTCTCTCTCTGTCTGTCTCTTTTTCTCTCTCTCTCTCTCACATACACACACACACACACACACACACACATGCGCGTGCGCACAAATATACTATACATCTATACACTCCTGTCTCATACACACACAGATCCCATGCCTTTCTCTCTCTCTCACACCCACACACACCCACACACCCACACATACACAAATATACCATACATCTATATACTCCTGTCAAATACACACACAGATCTCATGCCTTCCTCTCTCTCTCTCTCTCTCTCTCTCTCTCTCTCTCTCTCACACACACACACACACACACACACAGACCCCGATACACATGCACAAATATTCTACACATCTATACACTCCTGTCTCATACACACACAGATCCCATGCCTTCCTCTCTCTCTCTCACACATGCACATACACACACACCCACACACACCCTGACACACACGCACTAATATGCTACACATCTATACACTCCTGTCTCACACACACACACAGAGCCCTTAATGGCTCTTAGGGGTTCCCCAAGTTCTCCTACCATGATGCAGGACAGAAGGCAAAGGATGAGCCCCAGGAGCATAGCCAGGCACATGAGAATGATGGCCCAGTAGGGCAGGTCTGGGGGGGGAGAAGAGGTGATGCTGAGGGGCCTTCATGGGGACAAGGGGACAGCACAGAGTGGGGAATAAATGTCCTTTGGAATTCCCACCCCATGGGAAGGGAGGGGACAAAGGGCAATCCATGGGGAAAATGGAGGATGGAGGCTGAAGGACCCAATCCAGAGCATTCTCCCAACTCCCACGCCACCAGACCTTTGCTCTTCAGAAGAAGCTGACCTAGGAGAAAGGGGGCGGGCAGACTATGGGAGTGAATTTAGAGAAAGGAGCTGGGGTTCAGGACATAGGAGAAAAGGAGTTGGGCAAAGTGAGGGAAGGTCACTTAAGGCAGAAAAGACGGTTCAGGGACCCCAGTGTCATAACCTGGGACAAGGGAAGGTGATAGTGCGGGGACCCAATGTCAGAACAGAGAAAGGTGACAATGATACTGAGTCATATCCAATGACAGGGAATGACTTAAGGTGCAGGGCACAGAATCTTCCTCATGTCCACCCCCCCCCCCAGGGTGCTCAGGAAGGGGAGATACACTCAGGGATCTGACAATTGGTAGGGATGACTGCTGTTCATTTGTCTGATGAACACAGTCGAAGACAGTGTTCTTGGACGCTCAGCATTGAGTGATGGCTAGGGTGAGAGGAAAGTCATCCTGGACACTCAGTTCCTGCCCTCCCCCCACTCTCCTACTCTTCAAGGATCACCCTCAGCTCACCCCCCCAACACACACATACACACGCAGGGAACTGGTATGGGGCAAGGCTGATGCCATACTCACCAATTTTCTTAGTTTTTTCATCTGTTCTCTTGGTAGAATATCCTGAGGACAGAAAAATATGGAATAAGGGGAGGACACCTAAGGGTCTTGATCTGGGGAGCTAGACTGGGTGAGGAAGAAGAGGATGAGAGGACAAGAGATGGAGAGGCCATAGGGGACAAAGAGACTCCAGGGGTCATGGAGGGAGGAAAGGATATGGGGATCATAGAGACAGGTGACTGTAGGGGACAGCGATGGTGATGGGGGGCACAGTCAGGGGTGAGGAGGGAGTACAGGCATGAGGGGATGTTGAGGGAGGGTCTTTTGGGCTTGAGATGTCAGGAGTCTAGCATCCCGGGAATTCCTCATCCCACCCCACAGCCCGTCAGTGTTCAGATGGAGAGACCAGGCTGGAGGGCCCCTCACCATCCACCAGGAGACTGTTTGGATCCAGGGTAAAGTTCTGTAGCTGGGTGCCATCATGGGTCAGTCTGAGGAACTCTTGGTACGTAGCAGCCCTGTCGAAGTTCTGGGCCTCAGCAGCTGATGTGAAGTCATGTGAGCAGTCCACTTCTGTGACACATCTGGGAGAGAGGAGCCTAAAGAAGAAGAGGGCAGGGTGTGGGTGAATGAGAGAGGAAGAAGGC